TGACCGAGGGCCAGACCTCATAAATGATGGCGTGCCGAGGTGCCGATCTTCCTGCAGAGAGTTGGCTTTAGCTTCCAGCAGGAGGTGGGAGAGGGGTGAGGACGCTGGGTTCGGTCTTGCTGGCCCGAAGTGCCCCCTGTTGGCTTGCTCCTGGGCTGCGGGTTTGGAGACCTCGGGTGGGGCCTGGGCTCTTTACCAGGCTCCTGCCCCTGGGTGGGTCTGTCCAGGACTTTGCTGAGAGTCTCAGCGTCCCCGCTGCTTCTGTTGACACTGAGTGATGAGCAACCAGCCCATCGTAGGGCAGGAGAGAGATCATGGAAACCTCTCTGAGCTCCTCTCTGGGGGCTGGTTCCTCCCGCCCCTTCCTGGTGGTCTTCCCAGACTTCCCTTACCCCAACCTCACAACTCGGCTGGATTAGAATTATTTTTGTGGTACTGAGAATTGAACCCAGGGGTGCTCGACCACTGACCACACCCCAGCCCTTTTTATATTTTATTTGGAGACAGGGTCTCACTGAGTCGCTGAGGGACTCACTAAATTGCTGAGGCTGACTTTGAACTCGTGATCCTCCTGGCTCAGCCTCCTGAGCTGCTGGGATGACAGGCATGCGCCACCGGGCCTGTCCAGGAACTTGCAAACTTACAAACTTGCAGTCCTCCTGCCTCAGCCTCCTGAGTAGGTAGGATTTTACAGGCAGGCACCACTGAGTGGCCCTGGCATAATGTGGTGTATTTGTAAGTTGACTCTCTTCCTTCACCAGCCTCAGCGCAAAGCCCTGGTCCATGCGGCGGGGTCGTGGGGAGCTGGACTGACAGCAGAGCCCCGTCCTTCCCTTCTCCTGCAGTGGGGGCAGTGGACTCTAGAGATGGAGGCGGTTTGATGGTATCTGGAGGAGGCCAGCAAGGCTGTCCGTGTGAGGGTCATGCAGTATGGGGAGGCAGGGCTGCACTGGGCGATGCTCTCCTCCATGTGGGGCCCTTGAGGGAGCAGAGGAGGCGAGGGCCAAGGGCTCAGGACTCTGTCTTCCCAGCAGACAAACTCCGGAATCAGAGCAGCTCCAGGCCGGACAATCCCCTGCCTCAGAACCTTCTCATCACTTCCCCCCAGATCACAAACCAGGCGGGTCTGGTTTGACCTGCGCAGCGTTTAAAAGCCGTTTGTGCCAACGACAACATGTAGAACGGGTTCACATCCAAACCCTGACTTCTCAAGGCAGGAGAATGGGGCAGCCCTGGACACGGGCCCTTCCTGGCAGCCGCGGGTTACTGAGCCTGGCTGAGGCTGTCCTGTCCCAGAGCGCTGCCAGGCGGTCTCCAGTTAGCCACACTCCCCACCGCTCCCTATCGCATCTAGCTGCACTGCAGCCAACTGTGACGGGCCAGCGGACAGAAGGCCTGTCCCCCGGCTTCACTCCGGCAGAGCCCCATGCTGCCAAGAACAGGGGGAACAAGTGACCCGCGGAGACAGGCTGCGTCTCAAGAAACAACTGAGTGGGCGCATTTCTTCTAGTGTTGCTGCGGCCACTTCCCTCAGTCAAGGCACCAGCCACTGGACCCAGGAGACACTGGGTTTGATCCTTGCTCGATGGACAAAGTTCTGAGGCCTGGTTTCTGTGGCCCACCCCAATGTCAGGGAGCACATCTAGGTGGCCCCAGTTGGTGGCACATGCCCCTGGCTGACTCTGCACTATCTAACAGTACTGGCCCTGTCCCTGTGCGGGGCTCTGCTCTCTGTACCTGTGACCACACTGTTCCCTCCACCCCAACCTGCCCACCCTCACCTGCACAGGCACCTGTCTGTCAAGGCCACGCAGCTGGAAGGCCTCTCCATTCTTCGAGTCCTGTGGGATGTGCTGCTCAGGGCGAGTCCAGCCTGGCTCATCCCCGTTACCGTCAGGGTGTCCAGTGGGATCCAGGTCTTTGGCGTCCCAAACAAAGAATTAAGCAAGACACACACAAATAACAGGCAGAGGACAGGTTGACTGAAGGTGAAGGTGGAGGTGGAGGTGGAGGTGAAGGCAGTGCTCTGTGAGGCAGAGTGGACAGGGCTGAGCAAGAGAGAGGCTCAGGGCCCCGCGTCTGGAAACCAGTGTCTCCCCACGTGGACCTGATGGAAGACCTTGCAATTGTGCCCACTGGTTACATCTGGTGAGAATTTTGAATACCGCCCACTTTACCCCATGGGTCCGTTTTAAATGCTGAACCCGTGGCGGAGTCATCATGGTGGTAATCCTCAGTGGTGGGAACTGTCATGGTAATGGGACATCATAATCAGGGACGTGACCAGTATCCTCTCTTGTCCTCCAACAGCGACCTTCTTATACTCTGCCACCACCATCTTGGTGACCTGAAATCCTATGGAACACCCACACGCCCCAAGTGCTGTGCCCGCCTGTGACGGAGTCTCCAGGAATCACCGACCTTGCCTTGGGGAGGCCTCTTAAGTTAAGGAACCAGGTGGAGCATGTTCCGTCCCCAGCGACTGGGCTGGGCCACTCCATAGTGCTGCAGAGATGGCACCGACTCCTGGTGCACCTGCTGACACCGTCCCCAATTCCTGGGTTAGTGTTGCCAAGTTCTCTCTCTCTCTCTCTCTCTCTCTCTCTCTCTCTCTCACACACACACACACACACACACACAGACACACACAGTCTCAGCACCCTGGCAGACAGCAGCCTTCACGTCTAGTCTGTCACTTACAAAAGGACATCAGCATCTTCTCTTAGTAAGAAATTTCATAAAAGCAAGTGGCTGAGTCTCACGGGGTGGCCCACACCACCTTGACATTGGGGTCGGCCACAGAAACCAGGCCTCAGAACTTTGTCCATAGACCCAGGATCAATCACAGTGAGTCAGGAGGCTGAGGCAGGAGACCAGCCTCAGCAACTTAGCGAGATCCTCTCTCAAAATAAAAAGTCCTGGGATGCAGCTCGGTGGTAAGGCACCCTGGGATCAGTGCCTAGTACCGGGCGGGGGACAGGTGGCTGTGACCTTTGCCTCTGTGTCTCCACACATTGGCTAACCGAGAATCCACGTCTCAGAGAAGCCATCCAATGTGTAAGACATCGAACCTTCCAGAAAGCCTCTCTGATGCCGGGCCCAGTCGGGGCCGCGCTGAGCCTCCACAGCCCCTTGCCCACCTGCCTGCCCACCTCCAGGTGTGGCTGTGGAGTCCTGGGACCTAGGAGGGGCTGATGGATTTCGGAACGACTCCTTGACAAGGAAGCCTGGACCTCCACCCCACCCCCTTCCCAGCTTACACCTTGGAAAGCCAGCACCTGGGGTCCCTCTTCTCCAGCTCCTGCGTCCATGCAGGGCAGGGGTATGGGAGACGCAGCGTCCTGCCAGGAATGGGGACTCCTGGGCCAGTTCTAGGAAGGCTGGACTTTCCCCGTGCAGGGACTGGACAGGCGCTTCCCACCACAGCGGGAGGGGGCTCTGGTTGCTGCTGGGTGGGGGGCAGCAGGAGGCTGGGCACGGACAGCCCTGGGCCCGGGGCCTGCCTGACAGGGGTCTCAGAGTGGGGGAGTTCCAAGATGGACGGTGGACTCTCAGCAACCACAATGAGACCGACTTTCCTTCCTCTCTCTCTCTCTCTCTCTCTCTCTCTCTCCTTCTCCTTAATGGAACACAGGGACGCTATATGACTGAACTATGTCCCCAACTCTTTCTACTTTTTACTCTGAACAGGGTCTCACTAAGTTGCTCAGCTGGCCTTGAATTTGCCATCCTCCTGCCTCAGCCTCCTGAGTTACTGGGATTACAGGTGTGTGTCACTGTGCCCAGCTGGTACAGTGTCTGAGCCCCCCTGGGCGGGGTGTGTCCCCTCCTCCTTCTCCCTTGTGCGTGTTCTCTCTCTCTCTCTCTCTCTCTCACACACACACACACACACACACACACACACTGTCCAGGGCTCTGCCTCCCTACAAGGCCATTTGCTCCCTCAGACAGCAGGTCCGCCTGTCCTGGTAACTTCCCGTCTGAGACCCGCCCACAGCACATGCTCCCCACACAGAGGGATGGCTGGGACAGGCTCCAGGAGGTCAGGGCTGGCAGGGACCGTGGGCACCACGCACTTCAGGGCCTGAGCAGGTTGAGTTCCATGGCCAAATACACCATTGACACGGGTGGTCACAGGAGAGCAGCTTCCTCACGGGACTTTGGCCCTCCACCTGCTGATGGGCTTTGGGACTCTCCATGAAGGGGCCAGAGAGGCACTCACCCCAGACTTTAGGAGACCACAGGCTCTCCTCAGAGACACAGTGCATGCTGGGAAACGTGGGTCCAGCTCCAACTCACCCAAGGAAACCTGAGGACCATGTCGCAGAGGGGACCAGATTAAATGGCCTGTCACCAATAATACGGCATCTTTGTAAAAAATAGAAAAGGGGACTCCCCCATCCCCAGTTACCTCCGCCTCGGGAAACTTGACAGCACTGTATTGATTTTATTAGAACAAGACTCTGCTGCCATCTGCTGGAAACAGTAAGTGCACAGCTCTCTGCTGCCTGTGGGTGGTGCCTCGCCCACTCCGTGGGCTGCTGTTGTCCAGTGCGTAACCAGCCCAACCATGCATGGCAGCCCGGGGACCAAAGTCACAGGAGCCCAGTCTGCCCTTCAGCCCTGTCTCCCTGCATACCCTTCTCCTGGCCCAGGTGAGGGCTCTGAACTGACCCCTCTGCCTCAGCCCCCGGAGGTCTCTTCTGCACCGGGAGGCAGGGATGCTGGGGCCTCTCTCAACCCATGACCCAGCCCCTGGCAGACTCAAATGAGCCTTGAACAGTTCCATGATCCTGCATGCGGGCAGCATGACAGCACAGGGCCCAGGTGCAGAGCCACGGGACTCACTGTGGGGTCGTAGGGAAGTCCTTTTCCCTCTCTGTGTCAGTTTTCTGTTCTGCACAATGGGTGTGATCATGTGCAGGGCTCAGAGCTGAAGACCCACAGTGCCACCCTTCCCGATTGCTGATGACAGATGTCAAGAAGACAGCACACGACTTGGACTTTTTTATTAGACTAGGAAATATAATTTATTTCATAAAAATTAATTTTGTTACAATAGGAATGCTAAACGTTATGTACAGGTTGGAGTTTACAGAAAAAACACAGGGGGGATTGGGGGCCATCCCTGGGTCCTGTGCCCCTCTGGACATAGAACGGTGCCCATGACCCAGGCAGGGGTCCAGCCCTTTGTCCCAAGGACAGCGGCCCCCTTCCCAGGCTCCCGGTCACCTGTCCTCAGAGGCCTGCTAAGGGACCCGGCTCAGTTGCCTGGGAGCTGGGGAAGGGGACTGGGGGGCCTGGCTGGTCCAGATGAGGTGGCCCCTGGCCCGGGTGCCAAAGCCCGGGGCAGGGAAGGCAGAGGCACGTAGAGGATGCACTGACACCCTGTGGACTTGGGGGGACAGAGAAGGGTCCCCACCTCCAGGTGTGCAAACCTGGGGCGGAGAGGAGGCCACGCCCCCCACGCAGGTGGGGACAGGCGCAGCTTCCCAGAGGGGCATCCTGTGCCCAGGGAGAAACGCATGCGCACACACACCGAAGGGACGAGAGACGGGACACCCCTGTGCGGCCCTGACAGGCCCCTGCGGCACCCACGCTGCTGACGGGGACAGCACCCAGGCTGCTCCTCAGGAAGGAGTCAGAGCCGCCTCCGACCCCACCCCAAGATGGCAGTGTGGGGACGACTGCTGGAAGGGCCCAGCCGGTTGGTTCTGAGCTCCAGGCTCTGGTCCATAATTTCTGGAAGTCAGATTGGAACTGGCTGGCTGCCCCCACCACCACCAAGAGCCCCTGTCCTGGGAGGCGGAGGGGACATAGCAGGCAGATTGTGGTCAACTTTACCCATGAGGGGTCCCTTCCAAAACCCAGAGAATGGTGTGGGCCTCAGACAGCTGCAGGGCCTTCTAGGCATAAAAAGGATATTAGGCCCAGAGAAGGCAGTGATGTACCTAAGGTCACACAGCAGTTTCACCGCAGAGATGGAACTTAATTCCTGCTCTTGAGCTGCAGGTGGGTGTTTTAGAGCCTGTGAGGGGGCAGCACCAGCAGAGCCCACCATGGACTGTGATCTCCAGACAGGAAGAGGCCCTCACCTGTGCTGGTAAACAGTGGCGTGGGGCGGGGGCAACCCACAGGAGCCGGCGCTCTTGGTACAACAGGCTCACTGCAGCCCTAAGGCAGCGCCACAGAACCACCTGGGCCAGAGCCCAGAACCCGGCCGACCCCAGCACAGGCCCAGGGAAGGAATCCCCTCTACAGCCTCCAGCAGGCCTCCCCTGCCTGTGGCCAACCCCGCTCCAGTGGTGGGGGGAAGAAGCCCCAGGAGCCCCCAGGTCCACTGCAGGGAGGCCAGGCTGGGGACACGCTGGGACCGCAGCCCTAACACCTGCTCCCCTCTCAGGAGACCAAAGTGGCAAAGGCCAAGGTGCCAAGACTGACCCCTGCCTTGCCTTGGGGACCCAGGGGGAGGAGCCTTGGATGAACCCCCTGTCCACCGTGAGGTCCTGGTCTCTGCCCTGTGGTCAGGCCAAAAGGGGCCGGGAACTCGTTTCTCCTTAGAGGCCCTTGGAACATTCCAGAACAGGCTGGGGGGGGGGGGGCAGCTCCTCCATCCTGGGAGCCCCACCCACTTCCACACAGCAGTGATGGGGGGTTGAAGGAGGCGCCTGCTGGGATCAGAGGTGGGGCTTGGACTCCCCCCGACACTCCTGGGGGACATGCGGTCTCCCCACCCAGGCTGATAGCAACACCTGCCCCAACGCCACCCCAGAGCCATGTGGGGTGACAGGCCTCTGACAGCCCCTTCCGTTGCACGGGAGCAGAGGCTGGGCAAGGGCAGACCGTGGGTCCTGGGTGCCAGGAGTCCCCTGGTCTGAGACTGCTGGCTGCGGTGGGGCTGCAGTGACCCAGGCCCCTCCCCAGGAAGGAGGGGTCCTGGAGCGTGTGTCCTCGGCTCAGCTCCGGGGGCCACTCCAGGCCACACGCCTCCCAGGAGCCACCAGACCAAGAAGAGAGAAGGGCCTTCGCCCGGCCACAGCTGCCCGGGCCCCGACCTGCTCCTCCTGGGGTCTGCGGGCTGTGGGAGCGCCCTGTCCCTGTCCCTGGGGGCAACTCAGGGCCAAGAGCCTGCCTGACTGGCTCCCTTCACCGCTGGGGAACTGAGGCCTCGTCAGCCTTTAGTCCAAAGAGATCCCTCAGCAGCAGAGACCTTCAGTCTCAGAATCCGCTCAGTCTCTCCCTGACACACGCACACACTCACTCGGACAGAACACACCCACTCTCACCTGTACTGGGGGGAAAAAGTTTTCCATTTTTTTTTTTTTGTTCATTTTCTTTCTTTCTTTTTTTTCTTTTTCTTAAAAAGGACCTATCCAAATATCTGGATAAAAATGGTTTGCGTTTCCTAAGAAACTGGGCTTTCCCTTCCCTGGGGGGCGTTTCTCTTCCTGGCCCTGCTGGCCCGAGGCGCCTGCTTGTCCTCCTTCACTTCTTGCCTGTGGACGGGGAGCGATGGCCTGGACTGTGGGGACCGGGGGGAGAGGGAGAGGGAGTGGGGCTGGAGGAGTCCGCGGCGGAGGGAGAGGGAGTGTGAGAACGGAACCGACCCCAGGGACTCAGGAGGTGGGTGGAGGAAGGGCCACCTCCTGGCCCCGCGAAGTGCCCAGGGCCTGCCCCAGCTCCCACGGGGAGTGAGGCCAGGGGAGGCAGCAGGCTAGGAGCACCGGCCCTTTGGGCAGCGCAGGGCGTGGCTTTTCTAAGGCTGGTTGTGGTCGGAAGGGGGAGGAGCGGGGGCAACTCCACTGTCGGCCTCCATGAGGAGGCTACCCCGGCCTCCGTGCATGGCCTCTGCCTGTCCCTGATGGCCCGTGGTTCTGGGCACTCAGCAGTCCCCGTCAGTGGCCATGGCCACCAGCATCTCGCTCTTGCCCATCTCCTCCAAGGCACTCGCCAGGCTGTTGAGGTCCCCGTCGTCCTGCTGCAGAGCTTCCCAGAGGTCCAGGATCACGCCCGTGGGACTCGCTTTGGTGGCAAAGTAATTCAGGTACCTGGAGTGGGAAGGAGAGGGGCATGTGGCACCGGGAGCGCTCAGTGCCTCCCAGGAGCCTGGGGTGGAGGAAGCACAGGAGGTGGGAAACTGTGGGCTCCAGCGTCCCGTAGTCCTGGGTCTGAATCCCAGCGGACGGATTGGCCCCAGCAAGTCAGTGGCCCTCTCGGAGCCTCAGTCTCATCTCTTAAATGGGAACCTGTCAGTCACTCCTGGCATGGCAGACAGGATCCACGCTCACACAAAGCAAGGGTCTAGGCTTCTCTGGTCCTGTCCACAGGCACGGCGGGCTGGGGACGGGGCGACATGGCCAGTCTCTCTTCTGCCTTTGCCCGGTTCTCTTTTGGTACCAGATATTAAACCCAGGGGCTCTTTACCACAGAGCCACATCCCCAGCCATTTTTATTTTGGGACAGGGTCTCACTAAGTTGCTGGGGTTGGCTTTGAACTTGCAATCCTCCTGCCTCTGCCTCCCAAGCTGCTGGGGTGACAGGCCTGCGCCACCCACGGGGCTTCCTCCCCCTTTATTCCCTGCCTGGTCTTGCCCCGTGGACTTCCGAGAGCAGGAACAGGGCCTGCGCCGTCTGAGAGTCCTCACTCGTCATTTCTGTAAGACATCTTGTCTACGGCACCTGCTTGGGGCAGGGTGGACATTTTTCAATGAGTCACTTTTGTCATCATAGGCCTCTAGCATTGGAAGTTCTCACAAAGAGGTTTTTTTTTTTTTTTAAATTAAAAATATTTGTTTTTAGTTGCAGGCGGATTATGCAGGTGGATTATCCTTATCTATTCATTTATTTTTACGTGGTGCTGAGGACCGAACCCAGGGCCTCCCACGTGTGGGGTAAGCACTCTACTACTGAGTCCCAGCCCCAGCCTCACAATGAGTTTGACACCGAGGTGTGTTCTGTCACTGGGCAAGTGTTTTGGGGGCATCTGCTCTGTCCCTGGCACTGAGGTGCTGGTGGTGACCCCATCTAGCTGGTGCCTGGGCTTGGTCTGATTCTCAGGTCGTCCCACAGATGGGCAGGTGGGGCATTTTGCAGACCACGGTGGGAAGGCACAGCCTGGAGAGTGAGGTGGTCCTCAGCCTGCCTGGCTCGGAGGCTGGCGCTCGGAGCTCGACCCTCCACCCCGAAGCAGCATCCCCAGACTTAGCGCATCCAAACCGAGCTCCTGACCTGCCACCAATGGTGGAGACTGATGCCACCCCTGCCTACCAGACCGAGGACGAGGCCACCTGGGCTCTGGTCCCGGACACTCACCGGTCCATGGAGAGCTTCTGCGCCAGCAGCCGCCAGTCACTGCCCCTCGAGCTGGGGGCATCGAGGCTGTGGCATATCTTTTGGCGGATGGACAGCGGGATCTTGAAGGCATAGGGTCCCAGCTGGGTGGTGACGGCGCTGCCGGGCGCAGAGCAGAGGGCATCCAAGGAGCCAGCAGGAGTCTGGAGGGTGAGGAAAGAGGGCCACGGTGCTAGGCATCTGCTGCTCTGGGCTCCCTGCCCTGGACAGCAGCTCAGAGGCTGGGCCTCGCCCCTCCCTGGGGCAGCCGGCAGCTGCACAGGCCAGGGCCTCTTCCCCCAGGAGCAGACTCCTTCCCAAGCCCAAGGACGTGTGGCTGCTCCTCAGCCAGCAGGGGTGTGTCACCATAGGCTTCTATTGTCATCGTAGGTGCCTGCTCCTGGCTAAGGCTGACGGGTGGTCAGGAACCCGAGGAGCCCCACCACAGTGCAGCCCACGCAGACCAGTTTCTATAATGAGGAAAATACAGTCCAGAGGGGGCAGAGCCAGGTGCCCAGGGTCCCATGCTAGTGGGAGGCAGAGCTGGTGCAGGGCTCTTTCTACTGCACTGAGGAGGAGGAGCAGCATCGTCACCCTGGGTGGCTTGGGATTTTAACCTCAGTCTGGATTTACAGTGGCTGAGCATGGTGGCTCTGTCCTTGTGCTGACCTGGGTGCAAACCCAGTCCCATGGCTGTTGTGACTGTGGGATACCTGCCCTCCCCCAAACCTGCTTCCTCATCTTCCAGACGTGGACCATCAACTGTCTCCCTGGGGTCGTGCTGATTTAGTGAGGTGACGTGTGTCACCTGGTCACATGTACCTTGCACAGGAATGGCACACAGTGATGGTTGTTAACCAAGTGCCTGTTCTGACTTGGGAGGTGAAGGCGAGATGTCTTTGTGGGAGACCATTTCTGCCACGAGAGGGGGAGCCCGGGGCCGTGTGCCGCAGCCCCGCCTCACCTCGGCCAGCGTGGTGTGCAGCTGGACTATCTGGCCCTCCCCTTCCACCTGCCGCACGCAGATCTTGCAGGTGAGCTCGGTGGCGGCCAGGCTGTGCCGCTCCAGGGTGAACGTGCAGTGCACGGCCTTCTGGCTGCCACTCCAGATGTGACAGAAGGGGATCTCCTGCGGGAGGCAGCGGTCAGGGCCAGGCCAGTTCTCTGGGGCCTGGAGGCCAGGAGGGCGGGGCCCTCCGGGGCGTTCAGGTCTCCCCCCCAGAAGGAAAGGGGAGAAGAGCTGTGAAGCGCCCCTAAGCTGGCTGGCTGAGGGGGGTGCGTGGGTGTCTGAGCCGGGACACCTCAGGGAGCCGAGGGGGTCCCCGGCTGCAGGGTGGGGCAGAGGCAGTCAGGACAGTTGGCCAGGCACGCACACTCAGGTGGACGATGGGTGTGGGCTTTGTGTGATGTGGGAGAGTGACAGGCTGTCTCGGGCCCGGAGGCTGGGGTGTTCCTGAGGACGGCGCGGAGACCGGCCGGGCAAGACAGAGGGCGTGAGAGCCGTGAGGGGTGAGGCAGGAGCAGCCGGGTGCCCCCAGGCCCCCCACCTGGTACTTGGCCAGCAGCTTGCTCCTCCAGTGGGCATGGGGGACGTCGTGCAGGGAGAGGCGCAGGTTGTGGTAACTGTCCTTGAACAGCAGGGGCTTGGGCTCCTCCACCAGGTAGCCCCCCAGCGTCCGCTCCACCTCTAGCACCTCCTGCGGCCGGGGCGGGGGCAGGGGACTGCATCAGGCTTGGCCTTGGGCCCCTTCCACTAGCGGCTGAGGGGTGGGGCGCAGGGACCCACCTGAGCACGTGCAGGACCCGGGGGACCCGTGAGCGAGTGCTTTGGGTGAATGGATGTGTGGGTGGACCTATAGATGGCTGGGGGAAGAGATTGACGGTGTGGACAGACGGATGGAGAACTGCACGGACAGACAGGAAGAGAAAGAAGGCTGTGGAAGTCGGTGTGGAAATGGGTGGGACGTGAATAAAGGGATATTTGGAAGGAAACATAAAGGAATGGAAGGGAGATGGCGGGGGACAATGGGCTGTTACCGAGTAGGCCCATGAACAGAACTCAACATGGATGGACGGACAGACGAGGGTTTAAGAAGCAAGCCCATCAGTAGACCTTTTGTCTTGATCTCCACACTGTTCTCTGGCCAGAGTGGACCAGCCAGTGCCCAGCACCAAGAGATCCGGGCCTAAGAGCATTCCCCAGCAGCCTCCAGCCCTTCCCGGGCCGCCTGGGCTCCAGACAGGTGGTCCCAGCAGGAGACCCTGTCCCCCCGGCCCTTCACCTATGATGCCTCAGCCCACAACACGGAGCTTGACAGTCCCCCACAAGCCCAGGACGGACCACAGCCCAGGGAGGGAGGGGCAGGGGGCTGGCACTCTGCTCAGGCTGAATGCCACACTGGTGGCAGCAGCGCTGCTGTCTGGATGCCCTTCCCTGCTGTATTGGGCTCAGGTGTGAGGTCACCCTCCCCATCTGCCCTCCCGCAGACCAGCAGGAGCCCCGAGAGCCTCTGCCTGTCTCCCGCTTGGGGCTGCGGCCTGGGGCTGCGGCAGGAAGGGTGCCAGGCTGGGCCGAGGCCTGGCTGTACCTTCAGGGCCACGGGCGTGTCCTCGAGGCAGTAGACCCTGAGGCTGTACTCCAGGGAGGTGCACAGGGCCGGGGCGAAGACAGCCAGCTGCAGCCGCTTGCAGGCCGCGCGGGAGTAGGACTCGCCCGTGAAGACGTAGGTGCCCAGCTGGTCCAGCAGGACGTGGCAGGACCTGGCCTCCAGCTGGCAGTAGCAGGGGGTGTTCAGGGTCTCCTCGTCCAGGGTCACCACCTCCTGCAGGGCACAGAGGGTTGGAGTGCACCGGCCCTGGGCATCCTGGCGGGCCTCCGCGGGCCTCCCCGGCAGGTCGGGTAGCCTGGGCTCCTCACCTCCCAGTGGCCCTGGTGGGCCTGGGTCTTGAGCTGGAAGATCCAGTCACCAGCAGTGACCTCTGCACAGTGGGGCACCGTGAGGATGACTGGGCGGCACAGCAGGAGGCCCGTTGGCCCGCAGGTCACCGCGGGGCTCAGTACTGTCTGGGTCCCTTCTGACAGCGGGCTGGGGCCAAGCAGAGGGCAGGAAGGAGGCTGTGAGAGGAGGCTGAGGACTCGCAAGGGCACAGGCTATTCTGAGCCTCCAGCTCTGCCCACAGCCTGGGCCGAGGGCAAGGCTCTGCCACTGAGCTCCGGACCCCGAGGTTTTGGGGACGGAGGAGGTAGAGGAAATGGCGCACACCTTAAAGTTGTTTCCAGAGTTTTGTGGTCACACCAGAGCACTCTCACCACCAAGCCTTAGCACACGGCTTCAAAGGTTCTGCAATTTGGGGAACTTTTTTTTTTTTTGGTACCAGGGATTGAACCTGGTTCAATTGATTAAGGAGTGCTTAATCACTGAGCCACATCCCAGCCCTTTTTATATTTTATGTAGAGACAGGGTCTCCCTGAGTTCCTTAGGGCCTCAATGATAAGTTGCTGAGGCTGGCTTTGAACTCATAATCCTCCTGCCTCAGCCTCCCAAGTGGCTAGGATTATAGATCTGCGCCACCACACTTGGCGGGAACGTTCTTAACAGATATGGCTAAATCACCCTCCAGAAGGCTGGTACCAGTCTGTGCTCCCACCATCACGCCATGGAGGGCTACGTGCCTGGGCTCTGGGAGGATGAAGATATTATTGTTTGGAGAAAAAAAAAATCCTTGTGAATTCCTTAAGCAAAAATCATTCCCGATATCTCACGGATATTCATTAATTTCGACTACGAATCAGGTAGAATGTTTTCTCATAAACTACAGGTCACTGTGTGTGGTGGTGGGGAGGAGAGAGAGAGATCACTGGTTCATATCCTTTGCTCATTTTCATCTTGAGATGTTCAATTTTTCTTATTAGTTTATAAAGGCTTTTTACATAGTGAGGCTATTAGCCCTTGGTCCTATTTGTAACCTGTCTGTCAACCACTCTCCACTTCTATGATTTATGGGCAGGTGGCGGAGAGGGAGGCAGAGCCGGGCAGCCGGGGTAGGGTGGTTCTCTACTCACAGGGTGCTTTCCGCCTTGTTGATAAGCAGGTACATCTCGTAGAACTTGCCCTGGGGAATGGCTCCATTGGGCACCAGTAGGCTGACCCCTGGGGGGAGAGGGAGGTCAGCAGGGAGGGGGCGAGGGGGGAGGGAGTCAGGAGAACAGGGCTGGGAGGTGGCCAGCACAGGGCAGAGAGGGAAAGACATCCGAGTGCCAAGCAGTCACCAGCCAGGGACAGGGAGATGGGGCCTGGATGCAAGGAGAGGCCAAGTCATGGCCACTGCGGGCCTGTCCACTACATAGGGCCTCCGACACTGCCTGGTGCCTGAAGGCATCGGGCCCCTCACACCTAGCTCAGGGCAAAGGCGGGACGGTGCTGATGACCAGTTTTGCACCGAGGTGGGCGCCCTTTCTCCACTGGAACCCGGGACAGTGCTCTGCAGGGCTGCTGAACTGTCCCCGACCAACAGAGACGGTGAGCCTCTGTGAGTGGCTACCCAAGGTGCCCCTGGCCTGGAAGGAGCAGAGGAGGACTGAACCCCGGGTCTTCCAGTTGGCACCTCTATTTTACTGTCCCCTCTTGCCCTTGAACCCCACTGTCCCCATCTGAGAAATGGGGGGAGGGAAGCCCTGTTCTCTGCTGGCTGGGTGGTGAGCTGTGCAGAGGACTGGCCGAGAGGCAGGGGACAGGCCCACCTGTGCCCGGGAGGCTGAGCCTCCCACCCAGGCAACCGAAGGTGCCGCTGACGCTGCTGCCCGGGTCCCGGGCCAGGCCCAGGGGTTGCTGGGAGCCCAGGCTGGCGCTGCGCAGGTGCAGGAAGTGTGCATCTCGGGAGAAGTCGCCAGGGTAGGTGCCCGGCGGGTAGGTGACTCCCAGCAGGTCGGCCCCGTCTGGCCGGCCGGGCCCGGAGCTAGTGGTGCTGGAGCTGTAGACCTTGATCTTGAGGCTGGGCAGGGGGTCAAGCAGGGGCGAGTTGGTCATGGGGATCTTGTCGGCCGCGTCCTGCAGGGCGTACACTGGCCCACGGTAGGCGCCAGCGCTGGCTGTCAGGTCGGGGGGCACCGAGGGGTGCAGGAGCTGAGGGTTGCCTGTCGGAGGGGGGTGACGGTCAGACAGGCATGCCCCGCTGGCCGGGTCCTGCCCTGTCCTGGATAGGCGCCCTCCTGTCCCACCCAAGGTCCAGCTGCAAAGGCTCGACGGCCACCCACTGCGGGAAGCTCTGGGCAAGCTCTGGAGAAACCCTGGGAGGGAGAAGGCAGCCTGGGCTCTGGTCACCGCCATGCACCCCCAGGTCCCCAGCCCCCCCGCCCCCCCGCCTGCCCGGGTCCTTACTGGGCCTCGCAGTCTTGAAGTTGACTGGGTGGAAGCCCCCAGTGAGGGCAGCGGACGAGTCCGTGATGTCCGTGTCGAAGTCGCGACAGTTGCGGCGGTACACCACGGCGCCCACGGCCATGAGGACTGCCACCACCACCAAGATGGCCACCACGAGGCCCGCGTACAGGGCCACATCTCCTGAGGCCTCCAGGACTGCGGACACAGGAGGGCTACATGAGGGGCAGGCCTGCTGGCCCCGTGCTGAGGTCAACTGAGGTCTGCCGTGGCAGGCTGGGGACTCGGGCCAGCCTGGGAGCCTCTGAGTCAGTCAGTCAGTCTCTCTCTCTCTCTGTCTCTCTAGTATTTTTATACATTTTTAGTTGTCGATGGACCTTTATTTTATTTATTGACACGCGGTGCTGAGGAGGGGACCCAGGGCCTCCCACATGCCAGGCAAGCGCTCTGCCACCGAGCCCCAGCCCAGCCCCCAGCCAGTCTCTACACTAGTAAAATGGTCTCCAGACCCCGGCCAGCCTCCACCCGCCAGTGAACTCACTGCTTACTGCTGGGGAGACGGGGACTGTGACTCAGGGACGCTGGCCACATGATCTGTCCTATCAGAGCTGAGGTTTAAACTAGGGTCTCACTCTGAGCCTGCTGCACTCGCCATAGGACCACAGGTCCTGGCTTCACAAGTGCCTTCCAAGGGCTTTGCTGGGGGCGGGGGGGGGGGGGAGTGGCTGTGACATGAGCCATGGAGTGGGGGTGGTGGAAGACGGATGGGATGGACCCATGTGACACGGGGAGGCTGTAGCTGGGAACACCTCTCCAAGGCCAGGCAGGAAGGCGTCAAGACACAGGAGGCGAGGTCAACAGAACCTTCCATGATGACGGCAATGTTCTATGTCTACCGTGTCCACACGCAGCCACCAGAACATGTGGCTACTGAGCAACAGAACGGGCTGAAGCAAAAGCCCCATCAGTTCACTAAAACTGACTGGGAGCTGGGTGCAGTGGCGGACACCTGTAATCCCAGCAGCTCGGGAGGCCGAGGCAGGAGGATGGCCAGTTCAAAGCCGGCCCTAGCAAAAGTGAGGCCCTAAGCGGCTCAGGGAGACCCTGTCTCTAAATAAAATACAAAGTAGGGCTGTGGAGGGGGCTCAGTGGTCGAGGGCCCCTGAGTTCAATCCCCGGTACTCCCCTGATTTGGGTTTAATTTATTTAAATTTATTTAAATATAAGCTTCAAAAGCCACATGTGACCAGTGGCTATCACACTGGCCAGCTCAGGCAAAGCCAAGATGGCAGCCGTTGAAATGGCTGCTCTTCCGCTGGCCCCTTCTGGGAGCTCCAGGAAGCACCCTGTGCTGTGGGCCTCAGTTGTAAGGCCACTTCCCTCACCCGGATTCCCCCAGCCCCGGGGGTCAGCCCGAGCCTGATGTTGCAGTAGGCCATGGCCTTCCGCCTGGACGTCTGCTCACTTCCGACAGCTGCCTGGCCCCTGCCCGCCAGGGGTCCACGTTCTTGGGCTCCCCCGTGGACCACAGGTCCCTCGAAGGCCTGGGCTCCTACTTCCCGAGGCTCCTGGCACTGCTCCCCAGCGTGGTGTGGCTCTGAACCTGATGTCCTTGCCCGCACTGGGGCCACTTGCCTCATGATTTCAACTCTGTAATCAGCCACCAGCCTGGTCCCCTAGGGGGCTGGCCAAGGGCCCCACTGCTGGTCTCACGATTCCAGAATCACGTGGACGCTGCACTTCAGTTACCACAGCCAGCCTGCCGGACGCTTTACTGCTCTGGACTGTGCAGGTCCGTGGCCGTGGGGACCCGTGGGGACCCGTGGGGACCCGTGGGGCAGGGGCACAGGGCTCTCCGGACACAGGGCAGTGGGCATCTGGGGTGACTTGGGAGGTGTGGCCCAGCTGCAGGGTTGCAGTACAGGGCACTGGGGTGGACAGGTGGGGCCCTGCCCCACAGAGGGAGGCCAAGGGCACAGGGCTAAGAGCACCAGCTTTGGCCACAAATTCTGGCCTCAAGCTCTGGTTCTGCTGTTTCCGGGGGGGGGGGGGGGTCCCCGGGTAGGCCCCGCCTTCCCGCCGAGACTCAGTTTCCTGCCAGGCACGGGGGAGCCAGGGTTCTCTGGGGGCCTCCCCGTCAGCCCAGGGCCCGCCTGCCTGCCCATGATGGAGGGCAGACATGCAGCGTCCGAAGCAGGAGGAGCCCCAGGAGCTGGGCACGGTGGGCGCCGTCCATCTCCCTGCCCTGCCCCCACACCCGGAACCCCAGCCAGGGAGGACCGTGGGGTGAAAGAGGACAACTGTGAGGTGGACTTACGGTGGCTTTTGGGGTCGCTTAGAGTCCTCTTATCTGTTGAGGGAAATAAAGGGAGAGCCAGTGACACAGATGACAAGAAAGGGTGCAGAGAGGGCGATGGACACGGCGCAGGTGAGGGTCAGCTGTGGGGGCGGAGGCGAGGCTGGGGTGGGCGTCCTCCCCGGCCCCTGCCCCGGACTCACTCTGCATGCACAGCCCGTCCGTGCAGTTCTTGGAGTCCAGCAGGGTCCCGCTGCAGTCGCGGCCTCCGTTCTGGGGTGGGGGCGCCATACACTCGCGGCTGCGCCAGTGGGCGCACTCGGTGCTGCAGGCCGACCACTTGCTCCACTCTGTCCAGGCCCCGTCCACTGCAGGAGCAGGTGCAGGCGCGGTCACCCCGCAGTACATACACAGCGGCGCTTGCGCACACACCTCCGAGGAGGGACAGGGGGACAAGCCACAGAGAAACCCACACCACGGCCACGCAGCCTCGGGCTAGCAAGCGGCCACGGGCACCAGGTGGACAGAGAACACAGAAGTGCTCAGACACAACCAGATGCACAACTGCAAACCCAGAGGACAAGCCCCGCTGCCACCCGGACCCACAGCCACAGGGAGAAAACAGCCAGACACGCAGGGGCAGGCAGAAGGGGACGCAGGAGACAGAGGGTTAGACTGCTAGCAGGACAGGGCCCTGCGGACCGAGTGCATCAACACTTGTATACGGCAGCTCTGGAACCCTGGCCAGGGGCAGGGAAGAGGCCCAGGCTGCAGCCCAGAGCCTCCACCTCAATCTCAGCTGCAGCCCAGCCCAGCGAGAGGCCAGAGAGGGGAGCTCTGGGCCAGCCTGGGCGGCCCCCTTCCCTGTGGACACTGGGGAGAATGTGGACCTGACTCTGGCATGTCATGCAGGCAAGCGGGTTGGGGTGGGCTGGGTGTGGGCAGGGTGCCACCTGGCCAGCGGCCCTGACCTGGGCACACGGTGGTGCAGGCGGTTTTCTGGAAGGCCTGGCCCTCACAGAAGGCACCTCCGTTGAGCGGGGCGGGGTTGGTGCAGGTCCGGGTGCGCTTCTGCCAGCCTCGGCCACAGCGGTTGGAGCAGGGCGACCACTCTGCCCAGCTGGACCAGCCGCCATTCACTGTAGGGACAGCAGTCATCACCCAGGTGGCCTGGCTGTGGGTCACTGTGGCCCCCAAGCCCACGCCTCTCTGCGGAGACCTCCATGGGCAGGCTGAGCCGTGACACGGGCACCAGGAGGACCTGGGGGTCACTGTCTGCTCCCTGACCCATCATGCCGTGAGAAACAAAGGTCCAGAGAGGCCAGCACTTACCCAGGTCACCCACTCACAGCGGGCGACCTGGGACTCGCCTTGGGGCTGCATCCCAGGATGGGACTCTTTCTAGAACATTCTAGGACCACCTTAGCTATGGCTCTTTCCCTTGCACTCCTGAGGCCAAGGGGTCAGCAGAGAGCTGCACACAATCCCGGCAGCAGTCCCCAGCTGCCTGGCAGAGGTCTTCTTCAGGTGGCCAGGGGCTCTGGACCAGGGTCCAGTTCCGACTTGGAACCCAGGAAGGTCTGGCTTGGCCACTGATTTTTCTGTGTGACCTCGGGCAATTCACTTCCCCTCTCAGGGCTGCCCCCTCCCCACCTGATCAGGGGTCCCGCTGGCCTTGGGTTGGGGCAGGGTGGTGGGACATAGAGCCCCAGGCCCTCTCCCCCCCTCGGCCGTTCGCTCCCCGCAGAGCCCCACCGTAGACGATGACGGTGGCCGTGGTGCTCCGGCGCTTGGCCACGATGTTCTTGGCCACACAGGTGTAGTTGGCCGTGTCCGACAGGCGGGCCTGGCGGATGATGAGGTTGTGGTCGATGGTGATCAGGAAGTTGGTGTCCTGGGTGGGGTCGATGACATCCTCATTCCTGAGCCATTCCACCTGTGGGGTAGGAATGGGGGTGGTGAGGACACAGGGCCTGCCCCCTACCGGGGGGGTGGTGTGGGCCCACCTAGAGGGGTCTGGCCACGAACAGAGCTGAAGTCCTATCTGTGTCCTCCCCACAGTGCTGACCCAGGGAGGCACCTCCACTGGGCCGGGCACCAAGCTGGGAGCCCCGTCTTCGAGCGGGGCAGTCTGGGAGGAGACCCACCCCCAGGGCCCGAGTGAGGACGGGGAACGTGTCTGGAGCATGAGGACGGTGGCGAGAAGTGACGGGTGGGGGCACTGCCCTGGATCCAAGGGCCGGGTGGTGAGGGCAAAGGTCACCAGCCTTTGGGCTGGTGCACACGGGGACACACTGAGACCCCTTGGTATCCATAAAGCTGGGCCTTGGTTCTGGGTGGGAAGGCCTACTGGAGACGGGGCCCAGGTGCCCAAGGAGCCCTGGTGTCCCCACCGGTGGAGGGCCTGCTGGGGTATGGCCTGTGCCACCTTCTGCAGGGGTGATGGCTCCCCTCTCGGTTCTGAACCTCTCCCCATCTGTGACACGGGAGGCTGAGAGGCTATGGGCGCAGCGGCTGTGACAAGCGTGAGACCCGTCTGCTCTCAGCCTTACCTGGCACTGCCACGTCCCTACTCACCTCGGCCACAGGCACCCCCTCTGGGGGGCGGCACTGCAGGAGAACCTCGTGGTCCAGGGGCACTTCCTTGCCCAGAGGCTCCTGGTCGAAGTTCTTGCGCAGGTCTGGAGGGCAGAGGGCACAGTCAGGTGGGGGTAGAAGGGCACCCGAAGTAAACACCATGGCCACCAGGGGGCAGTGCAGCCAAGGGAATGGCTGACGTGCGCTGGGGGAACTGGGTTCCCTCCCTGAACTGTGGGTCCTTGGCCCAGGCGGCCCAGGTGGGCGAGAAAGCTGGCAGTTTCCTCTGCAGGTGAGGAGGGCCACCGGGAATGCCCATTTCTGGGTCTAGGAACCCTGTGAGCTGCAGGCGGGTTCCCAATGTCTGCAGAGGGCATCTACAGCCATAGAAGTGGGCTCCTCCTCTGGCATCCAGGGGAAGGGAGAGGCCCTGGAGGGGCCAGGGAGCTTACAGGCAATGCGCACGTAGGCCCGGCGACTCTTGGTGGTGCCCGCGGAGCTCCAGGCCACACACTGGCACCAGTAATCCTCCAGCCCAAAGAGCTCCTCCACCTGCTGCCGCGACACCTCGATCTGCACTTCACGCACCCGCAGGCCTGGGGGGGAGAGTGGGTCAGGGGCAGGCCACAGCCACCAGCTGGTCACTGCACCCATCTGCGACTGCCTGCCTGGCCTGGATCCCACATGCCACCCAACAGCCCTGGAGAGCTTGGCACTCATCTGGGGTCTCATCTCCAGACCCTTCAGTGGAAGGACCCAGACCTTCCATGTGGCCTCCAGGCCCTGCAGATTCTACTCCCTCTGCAAATCTCTTCCCCAAAACTCGTGGGAGGACCAAGACCACCTCCTCCAGGAAGCCTCCCTGTCTGCCTCCTGTTTCAGAATTCCTAAGACTGCACCCCGTTACCAGAATGTATCCTATCCAATCCTCACATGGATTGTTAAGTCCCTGAGGACACGACTGTATACATTGCTGTACATGGCACGGTGGTTAGATGGCTGGCCAGGTTTGAATCCAGGCCCCATCTCACTCCCCAGCTGTGTGACCTTCACTATGTTACTTAGTCTCTCTGAGCCTTGATTTCCCATCATAGTAAAACACAAAGGATAAACTCTAAATGACTCATGGCAATTAGCTTGTCAGAACCCAGCCCAGGTGGGCACAGATTGACTCTGGCAAGTTGTTTGGATCTTATTTAGCCCTTCCTTTCACATCAGAGAAACTGAGGCCCAGAGAGGGTAAGTGGCAGGCCCAAAGTCCCCCAGCAAGCTGCCAGTGGAGTGGGGGTCAGCTGTCTTGTATCTTGCCCAGGTTGAGATCTGTCCCCTAACACGCTACTTCTCTGGATCCATCCCAATAAAGTCATCGCTGTCACTCTCCCATATTGTCACAGGTGGGCTCCCAAATAGCAAGGAGAGCCCCAGCCCCAAAGGCAAAGGAGGTGACAGTGGTGTGTCAGAGAGGGTGGCCTGCAGTGCCAGCTGCCGGCTCCGAGATCAGAGTTGCTGGGCCCACAGAGCAGGCCGCGCCCCTCCTTCGCCAGCTGGGAATCAGGTGCAGGCCAGGGTCGCCCAGTGGAGGAGGTATCCGCCACACCCCGTAAGCCCGGCACCTTGTCCACGTCTCCCAAGTATGGTGGCTGAGTGGCAGGCCACGTGTGGCCGGGACATCCAGGGGGACCACCTGCATGAGTTGGCAGGAGCTGGGGAGTCCCCTCCTGCTGGCCTGGCCCAGAGCTCTGTGCTCCCAGGGGCCCCAGGAGCACGGCAGGGCTGGGGTGCAGAGCAGGAGCCGCGGCCAACCCGGCCTCACTGCTTCTCCGACAGTGGCCTGTGAGCCGCATCCACAAGTGCAGCCGACGGGGACAGTGTGCCCCAATTTCTGTGTGCCTGGTGGCAGGGAGTAGGGGCCTTGCCGTTACCGTTACCGACAGCCACGGGCTGTTATGACTCCTGCGAGTCATCCGAGAGGGGCCAAGCAGGCAGGAGGCGGCCAGGCTTTGCCTGGACCCCCGGCTGACCTCTAATACAGGCCAGAGGACAGAGGAGACTGGCGTTCAGATGTCTACCATCTCTTGTGCTAGATATGGTCCCCTGACACTGGGGCTCAGAGAGGTCGGTGACTTCCCCACAGCCACACAGCTAGAGAATGAGAATATCTGGGGGGTGTGAGAGTGTGTGTGTGTGTGTGTTTGCATGCATGCCTTTAAAGTGTTTTGATTTGGGGTAGGAATGGTAGCTTCAATCTATTTTTTATAAAACTGAATCGTGGTAAAATGCACATAACCAACAACGTGCTGTTGGAACCCTAACGTACAGTTGGGCAGCCTTGGTACATTCTGGGGTTTGGTTTTTAGTCTAGGTGAACCCCAAATACAGGTTTTTCATGCAAAATAGAAATCAGAGGAGGGGGGAAACAGGAGGGAACAGGGAGAAACAGAGAGGAGGAGAGAGGAAAAGAAAAGAGAGACACAAGGCAGGCTGGACGGACACACGGACACACACACACACACACACACACACACACGTCAAGGGAGGGCCGGGCAGTGGGGAGGAGCTGGGAGCTCAAGGAAGCTGCGGACACCGCAGTCCACTAGGGCCGGGGACACCCTTGGCCTGGGGCTGCTGGAGGGAACAGCAGTGAGTGTCCCCGCGGGGTGCCAAGCCTGTCACCCAGGCTTGCTGCGCTGTGGACGGGGTTGCTGGCCCCGGGTGTCCTCGGGAGGTGAGGAGCGGGCTCTGCCCCCTCTCCCTCCTTCCTTCCTGGGATTTGGGGGCACCCAGCACCACCTGCACGACATCTGCTTCTCATCGCAGCGTCGCGCCTCCCAACACTCAGGACGTTCATGCAAATCCCCAGCCCTGCTGGCCCCGAGCACAGGATAGGGGTCTGTCACTTGTGTGCAGGGAAAATGGTCCCTTCCACCACAGGAAGGGCCTGGAAAGTTAGGAGGGCCCTGGATTCTCGTGGGTGTCCCGGGGCCCAGGGCTGTGGACGGGGCTCCCCTCTCCAGGTGGGGGCAGAATCCCAGTCCCCCCAGAGCTGACCCCTGACCTGAGAAAGAAGGTGGAAAGAAAACGCAGGTGGGAAGGGATGTGGCAATGTCACCCCAGGCCAGGCGGGGACCCGTGGCCTGTCCTTGGGGAGATTCCCATCCAGGGTGACGCCCAGATGGGAATCTGAAGACCGAGGGTCGCGGCTGCGTCAGTGCGCGTGGAGCCCAGGCCAGAGCCTCGGCCACGGGACCCACCGGTGGCCTCGTCCAGCCCCTCCTGCGTGGCGTGGTCCTTCTGGCCGACCCACTCGCCATTGCACTTGAAGTAGACCTGCGTGGCGGGGCGGGCGCGGCAGCGCAGCTCCACGGGCTTGCTCTTCACCAGGTAGGCGTCCTGCGGCTCCTGCAGGAAGTGGGGCAGCGGCTCGGCCGGCGCCGACGGGAAGGAGTCGGGCAGCACCTGGCTGCCAGGGTCAGGGCCTGCGGAGTGGGAGACAGACGGCCGTGAGCCCAGGCTGGGGCCCGGGGCCCTCTGACCACCCTGGGGACTCCAGGGAGGCAGAGGACCCGCTGGGTGACCTAGCGAGCTCTTCACGCCTTGGGCCTCTGCCTCCCCATCGTCCTGCTCTTCAGAGGCCGAGCCTCTGGGCCCGTCCCAGGCTGGGAAAGCCAGGCAGCCCAGGGAGGCTGGCCCAGGGAGGCTGGCCCAGGGAGGCCGGCAAGGGCAGTCCCCAGGACCCCCCCAGCGGCCCCTGCCCTGGCCCTGCCGGGCCTCGCTTCCGTTCCCCATGGTGAAGGCACAACACGGGGGCTGGAAACCCGGGGAGGCTGGGACTTAAACCAGGCCAGCTCTGCCCTGGAGCCACAGCTGCCCTTTGCAGCCCCAGCCAGCCCGATGATGAGGTGGGGACAGCCAGGGCCTGCAGGGGCGAGGCGCCCTGGCGGGGTGGGGCGAGGGCACTAGGCCTGGCTCCCAGGTGCTCAGCCCCCACAGGCCTCCTCCTCTAGGGAGCCCCAGAGGCGAGGCCCTGTGGGACTCCACCTGGAGCCCTGCGGGACTCCACCTGGAGCCCTGCGGCTGGCCCCTCCCAAGGCGGCTCCCACCCAGCGGGTCCACGCCCACCCACGTGGATGAGGAAACTCCAGAGAACAGGCGAGGCTGTGCCCAGGGCAGTGCCGCCCAAAGAGGCCAAGTGGGAACGCCTGGGTCCCTGGAAAGAACAGCACCTCGGGAGGGGACAAACAGGAAGGGAGTAGCCAGACCGCGGGAGGAGGAGACCAGGCCCGGCCTGCGATTGGCTTGCCAGGCACTCAGGAAAACTGGCTTTCCAAAGCCAAGTGCCAAACAATCAGGAGGCTGGGGACAAGCCGTGGGGGGCCTGTCCTCTGGCTAACTGCTACAGAGGACCCAACAAAGGACGCCGTGGGGGGGGCACATCTGCCCGGCCCTCCACCAGCTGAGTCTACCTCCCACTGGGGTGGGAGGCCAAGAATGGACCCTGACCTGTCCACTCCAGGAGGCCATGGTGGCCTTTGGGAGTCTCCCTGTAGGCAGGGCCCAGGGGACACCTGGTTTTCCAAGAGCAAAATGAATAAAGCAAGTCTGGAGACCCTTATGTGACTGGGCTGCTGTCACTGGCTCCAGGCCCCGGGGGGTGTGTGTGAGAAAGATGGACAGACGGACCCAGGGACCTGAGGGAGAGAAGGAAGCCAGCCAAGAGCCCTGTTCCGTGTGACCCAGGGTGAGTGCCTGAATCTGCCCTGTCACCTCACCTCTGAAGAGGGCCAGGAGGCAGGGGGGCACAACCTCTCTGGGCTCTGGGGACCCCGTGACTGCCTCAGAGAGGGTCTGGACACAGGAGGCACCTGTTGCTGCATCTGGACCTCAAGGGCTCTCCAGGCAGCAGGAGCTGTTTTCTGCCCTTTCAACAGTTAGATCATCTCGTTTCTGAACGACCCCGTAAGGTGTCCTCTGTTCATCCTTATTTTATAAATTGAAGCTCAGAGAGATGAAGCAACTTGCCCAAGGTTGCACAGCTAGCAAAAGGCAAGGTTTGAATCCAAGAAACAGACTTCCGTGTTTGGGTGTCGCCCAGAACTCCTTGCCCTGTGGCTGTGGGTGTTCCTGCCCTTGGGGATCCCAGGAGCACCCTGACACTGGCCGGGACTTGCAACTGATGGCCTCTCTCATCAACAGCAGGGATGGGACCATCATTTTCATTCAAAACTGGACAAACTGAAGACCACCCAAACAGGGCCAGTGACTTGCCCTAGGCCCCCTGGTTTGGGGGCAGCTAACCTGGAAATGGCACTGAGGATTCCTGAGCCCAAGCCCGGCTTCCCGCACCTGCTCCCCTCTACAGGCTCTCGGAAGGCGCGTCAGCAGGCCTGGGGTGGCGGGGTGGCCAGCACGCTCATCCCCCTTCCAAGCACGGTGCCGGCCCCCGGCTGCCTGCTCTCTGCGGCACTGCAGGCCGTGTTTACGACGGTTTTATAACCCTAATGCCGCTCATTTATAAAGCGGGCGCAGATGCCATGGAGGAAGCAAACATTAGACATCCATTAGCGCAGGGCCGCGCCCGCAGCCCCGCCCCACCCCGCGCTCTGCCGGGCGCTGGTGCAGACATTCATCTCTGGCTTGGGCAGGGACACAGCCCGAGCTCTGCCTGGTGGCACGGGATGGCTCGGTATGGAGCTGGCTCCCCCTTGCCCACATCCCCATGGTCCAGGGGACAGAAAGGCAGGTGCGGACAGGAGGCCAGGGAAAAGAACCAAAGGACACCCCAGATTTAACGCCAGGGGAGCCTGCGAGGACGCGCTGGCTGGCACACAGTAGGTACGCAGCTGGTGGAAATCAAGCAGAGGCAAATGTGGAGGAGGGTGCCCTGCTGCGTAGGGCTGAACTGGCCCCTGCCCTTCCTTCTCCTGGGCCCTGTGGCTGAGGGAGGCTCGGCCAGTGGTCCAGCGGTGACCTAAGCCAGGCCCCGTGGTGCCAGGGGGGAGAGTAAAGGTGTTCAGGGGCCTGTGGGCCCTATTCTGCTGGGCACCATTCAGAGGACATGTCCTGTCCCCTCGGCGCATCCCACGACAGCCCTACATGGATCGGAAGTTTTTGTCTTTAGTATCTCAATAATTTTTTACGGCATTTCCAGGTCCCAGAGAAAGTCCCCAAAGCTGGAAACTGTTTAAGTAGCTACATCCCAACAGAAGTCTTTATATCCTAAACGCTAAGTAGCCTTTTGGAAAATGCTTAAATTGAGACAGAAACAGAATGTTTTCGCCCCATTCCTAAGTAGTCACAATGACATGCCGACGGGGATGTAGGCACCCACTGGGCACAGTGCCACCTCCCAACCACAGAAGCAGAGTGGACACCACCACCCCTACGACTTGGGTACTCCAAAGGGCCCAAAGCTCAGCTTTGCAAAATACCATGCCAAATCCAGGAGAGCAGTGATGTAATGCTGAAACTTGGAGCCACCTTCAGAGGTCGTTGCTGCAGTGTCCAACAGTGTCCCTTGGAGTGTGGAAATACCCTGTGGCACCCTGGGGTGCCATGGCATACAGTTTGGGAATCAGAATCCTGCGGGTACGGCACTGTGATCATCCCGTCTTTCAGACAGGGAAACTGAGACCAAAGTGTCTAAGTCATCGGTTGGGGGCTATGACACTGGCAAGAACAGAGCTGGGGTCAGATTCAGGGAACCTGTCTTCTACACTCCACTGGGTGGAAATTGGCACTTGTGTGCGCTACAGCTTATGTGCTGTGTGCCTACGTACCCGTGTGCAGGGGCTTCAGATACTCTACCTCCTCCCAGTCGTCAACGTGGGGATTATGTGCCCATTTTACAGAGGAAGGCACAGGCATCGAGGGACTTCAAGGGTCCCCTGGCAGTGGGACCAGTTCCTAATAACACAGCTCACTTGGGCCTACGTTGCAAACACCCCTTGCCGTTAAAGCCACCCGTGGGCTCGGAGCCACACGTGCTTGATCCCACCTCCTGGCTTCCCCACACCTCTGCGCATCTTTACTAAGGGTGCCTCCTGGAGCCGACCCAGCCCCTGCCAGGAGGGACATTTCCCACATACAGCGTGCGGCTGTGTGTGTCTCCGCGTGTGTCCTAATAGCAGTCCCAGACATAGTGACAGACGGTGAAACACAGGCAACCCAGCCCTGAAGGACGGAGCCCCAGCCTGCATCTCAGGGGACTGACACTGCCACGTGGCCTTTCCCTCTAAGGCCACCACCTTAAAACGAGGAGGCGGGCCAAGTCACTGCCTCAAGGCCCCCTCTGGCTCTTAACGCTCCGAGCTCTTCAGACCCCACGTGGGGTCTCTGTTCCCATGGGAGAGCATTCTCCTTCACAAAGCACGTGTGCCCAAGGTCGGGCGTCTTTCCTGCCATCGCCACTCCTGCGTGGCTCACCAGCCCAGCAGGCTGGCTGGTCCGGAGGGGGCTGTGGGTGGCCCTGGTAGGCGGATGAGAGGCATTTGCAGCAGACCCTCCAGCCACGCCCCACCGCCTCCCAAGCCTCAGATCAACATGAGCACCAGGGCCTCTGGGTGCTGCCTCCACTGGGGCCGTTTGAACCTGCCCTCCTACTCACCTGTACACCTGCCTGTGTCCACAGAGGTGACTTAAAGGGTCAGCTCATCCAACATCCCTGCCAAGCCCCCATCCAACTTTAACTGGCACACCCCCGGGGCTGGGCACGCTCTGCTGCCCTTCTCAGCCAGGTCTCCTCTGGTCGGACCCACCAGTTGGAAAAGTCTTCCTCGCTATGGCTGCAACCAGCCACTGCGACCTCTAACCTTCGAGGTCACACTGACCTGCACATCCTCTTGCCTGTGACAGTGCCCAGTGTCTGGGGGAGTAGCTGGCCCTCCCTGACCTGCCCATCTTCTTCTGAACATATAAGACAGTTTTGCACGCCCACTCTATCCTGGCTCCCTCATGGTCAAGGTCCCTGACTGGGGAGGGGAGGTGCCAGGATGCATCTGGCTGTCACCTTCTGCTTCTGGCAAGAGCATTTGGAATGGGGAGTTCAAAGGCTCCTTAACGATTCTGGTAGCTGCTCTCGGAGCGCAGGGACATACCACAGCCTTCTTGGTATCCCCATGAAGTCCAGGTCAGGGTACCTGTCTGGAGGGACGGTGGAGCTGGCAATCATGAAGGACAGGGCTTCTTCCCAGGGGCTGGCCTGAGCCACGCTCACAAGCCCCTAGGGCACGCAGGCTGAGGACACATGTCCCTTGGTCTGCTATCACCCGAGCCCCCAGAACCCTGTATTCTACCTGCTCAGAGAGGGAAAGTGACTAACGTGACATCACACAGGAAATGAATGGTTCAGCGCCAGAACCCAGTTTCTGATTTGGGGTTGAGTTAGGAAGATCAGGTCCAAAAGTAAGTACAGTCACAGTGGGACAGGGGACAAACGCTTTGGCTCTTTCCATTCCAGGTCCATCTCTGATCGGCCCTG